TGAGGCTCTTTTTATGCCCCAGTGTCAGGAGTCCATTTCTGACGGCATGAAGACCTCACTGAATCATCCTGGCTGAATCAATTCTCTCTCTGTGACATTTTGAAGTGAGCAAAGGGCGCTGGACAAACCTTGTATGGGAACTTGTGAAGCAACAAGCTCTAATAAGGAAACTGAGAAAAAAGGGGAAGAGATGGGCAGGAAAGGTGTATAAAAGGAAGTGGTGGTGGGGAAAAGTCAGTAGAGTCTTTATTTATGTATTCATTATTTATTTACGTCATTTATATACCGCTTTTCTTAGCCCTTAGGCGACTCAAAGCGGTTAACAGCAGCAATTTCAATGCACACATTACAAAACAATAGCATAACAACAATTAAACATCAATATGACAAATCATTCACGTCTCGTCAATAGAATCAGAATCCAATCTCATCATCCATTATTCTGTGTTCCTGTAATCAATTACACTGCCTAATCAAATGCCCGCTCAAACAACCAGGTCTTCACTTTCCTCCAAAATGCCAGTAAGGAGGGGGGCGATCTGATATCTGTAGGAAGGGCATTCCACAGCCGAGGGGCCACCACTGAGAAGGCCCTGTCTCTCGTCCCCACCAGGCGTGCTTGTGATGCCGGCAGGACCGAGAACAGGGCCTCCCCAGATGATCTTAAAGTCCTAGCTGGTTCATAGGAGATGCGTTCAGACAGGTAAGTCGGGCCAGAACCATTTAGGGCTTTATAGGCTAACACCAGCACTTTGAATTGTGCCCAGTAGCAAACTGGCAGCCAGTGGAGCTGGCGCAACAGAGGAGTTGTATGCTCCCTGAGTGCCGCTCCAGTTAGTAACCTGGCTGCTGAGCGTTGGACCATTTGGAGCTTCCAAGCAGTCTTCAAAGGCAACCCCACGTAGAGAGCGTTGCAGTAGTCTATACGGGATGTAACCAGAGCATGGACTAACGTGGCCAAGTCAGACTTCCCAAGGTACAGAAGTTCACAGCATTGTTCAGGAGGTGGCAACAAAGAATGTCCCAAAGAAAAAGAAAACCAAGAAGGCAAGATGGTTGTCTGCTGAGACACTGGAAGTAGCCCAAGAAAGGAGGAAAGCAAAAGGAAACAGTGATAAGGGGAGATATGCCCAGTTAAATGCGCAATTCCAGAGGTTAGCCAGAAGAGATAAGGAACTATTTTTAAGCAAGCAATGCATGGAAGTGGAAGAAGACAACAGAATCGGAAGGACAAGAGACCTCTTCCAGATAATTAGAAACACTGGAGATAAATTTCAGGCAAAAATTGGCATGATGAGAAACAAAGATGGCAGGGACCTAACAGAAGCTGAAGAGATCAAGAGAAGGTGGCGAGACTATACAGAAGATCCGTATAGGAAGGATAATAATATCGAGGATAGTTTAGGCAGTGTGGTGAGTGAATTAGAACCAGACATCCTGAGGAGTGAGGTGGAATGGGCCTTAAAAACAAAGATGGCAAGGACTTAACAGAAACTGAAGAGATCAAGAGAAGGTGGCGAGACTATACAGAAGATCCGTATAGGAAGGAAAATAATATCAAGGATAGTTTAGACAGTGTGGTGAGTGAATTAGAGCCAGACCTCCTGAGGAGTGAGGCGGAATGGGCCTTAAGAAGCATTGCTAACAACAAGGCAGCAGGAGACGACGGGATCCCAGCCGAACTGTTTAAGATCTTGAAAGGTGATGCTGTCAAGGTGATGCATGCCATATGCCGGCAAATATGGAAAACACAAGAATGGCCTTCAGACTGGGAAAAATCAATGTATATCCCCATACCCAAAAAGGGAAATGCTAAATACTGCTCAAAGTTGCGTGCAGTGGCCCTTATTTCTCATCATGCCAGGAAGGGAATGCTCAAGATCCTGCAAGGAAGAAGACTCCAGCAAGACATGGAGAGAGAGTGGCCAGGTGGACAAGCTGGGTTCAGAAAAGGCAGAGGAACCAGAGACCCAATGGCCAATATCCGGATGCTGGAGAATGGAGAAAGGCAGGGAGTTTCAGAAAACATCTATTTCTGGGATTGTGGAATGTCAGCTGCATTAAGATCACTCTGACCAAAAGGTCATGAGTTCAAAGCCAGCCCAGGTTGGTGTGGGTTTCCAACCAATTGTGTAGCCCGTTGTCGACCTTTGCAACCCGAAAGACAGTTGCATCTGTCAAGTAGGAAAATTAGGTACCACCTTGTGTGGGGAGGCTAAATTGACTAATTTATGAGGCCATAAAAAAGACTCCAGCAAAAGCATGTGGGGAATGCGGAAGTACTTCATCAGTGTCGCAGATGGACGATGAAAGCGACAGCTCCCCTGGCGGCCAGAAAAAGTTAAATAGCCTCTGTCTATGTCTGTATATGTTGTATGTCAAAAATTGGCATTGAATGTTTGCCATATATGTGTACACTGTAATCCGCCCTGAGTCCCCTGCGGGGTGAGAAGGGCGGAATATAAAAGCTGTAAATAATAAATAAATAAATAAATTTTGAACTGTATCTGAAGTTCAAAATGTGAACTGTGTCTGAAGGAGCTGGGGGTGGTGAATTGTGGTGTTGGAGGAAAATTCTGAGAGTGCCTTGGACCACGAGAAGATCCAACCAGACCATCCTCCAGGAAAGAAAGCCTGGCTGCTCATTGGAGGAAAGGAGACTAGAGACAAAGTTGAAGTCCTTTGGCCACAAAATGAGGAGACAGGAAAGCATGGAGAAGAGAATGATGCTGGGGAAAGGGGAAGGTAAAAGGAAGAGGGGCCGACCAAGGGGCAAGGTGGAATGGATGGTATCCTTGAAGGTACTGGCTTGACTCTGAAGGAGCTGGGGGGGGGGGCACGGCTGACAGGGAGCTCTGGCATGGGCTGGTCCATAAGGTCACGAAAAGTCGGAAGCAATTGAACGAATAAACAACAAAAATTTTGCTCTTCTTAATTCAGAGCAACATATGTACAACATGATCAGTTGCATCAACTCACTAAATGTGCTTTTATGAGATATTTAAAATGGTCCTTTCTGTATCCATATCATAGAATCATAGAATCAAAGAGTTGGAAGAGACCTCCTGGGCCATCCAGTCCAACCCCATTCTGCCAAGAAGCAGGAATATTGCATTCAAATCACCCCCGACAGATGGCCATCCAGCCTCTGTTTAAAAGCTTCCAAAGAAGGAGCCTCCACCACACTCCAGGGCAGAGAGTTCCACTGCTGAACGGCTCTCACAGTCAGGAAGTTCTTCCTCATGTTCAGATGGAATCTCCTCTCTTGTAGTTTGAAGCCATTGTTCCATTGCGTCCTAGTCTCCAGGGCAGCAGAAAACAAGCTTGCTCCTTCCTCCCTGTGGCTTCCTCTCACATATTTATACATATGAGAGACCTTCTTTCAGCAGCCAAGAAGCAAATCAGTCTCTCTCTCTCTTTATCTCTCTGCACCTCCATAGCTTAAGCCTGAACAAAGATGCAACAGTATCCTAAAGTTCTAAGCTCAGCCATCACCTGGGGCATTGCCCAACCAATCAGCTTCATTTTACAGTTGACACACATAGACTCACTGAGCTGCAGAGCCAACCTTCAGAAATGGGGCCACAAAGTGGAATCCACGACATGCGAGTGTGGAGAAGAGCAAACCACTGACCACCTGCTGCAATGCATCCTGAGCCCAGCCACATGCATGATGGAGGACCTCCTTGCGGCAACACCAGAGGCACTCCAAGGGGACAGATACTGGTCAAAGGACATTTAATAGAATACCAAGCTTGCAAACTCTGTGTCTCTTGTATGTTTGTTTGTTTGTTCTGTCAAAAAAGTAATACAACTGTTTGGTTGCCTGACACGATAAATATAAACACAGGCTCACTGATTGCTTGCATGCTCCAACATAGAGCTTCTCCCCAGTGTGAGTCCTTTGATGTCTATATAGGTCTCCTCTGAGTGAAGCTCTGGCCACACTCCAGGCATGTTATAGGGTTTCTCCCCAGTGTGAGTCCTTTGATGTGAATGTAGATTTCCTCTCTGAGTGAAGCTCTTTCCACACTCCAGGCACGTGTAGGGTTTCTCCCCAGTGTGAGTCCTTTGATGCAAATGTAGATTTCCCCTATGAGTGAAGCTCTTTCCACACTCCAGACATGCATAGGGTTTCTCTCTAGTATGAGACCTTTGATGCGAATGCAGATTTCCTTTCTGAGTGAAGCTCTTTCCACATTCCAGGCATGTGTACGGTTTCTCCCCATTGTGAGTCCTTTGATGTAAACGTAGACTTGCAATCTGAGTGAACCTCTTCCCACACTCCAAGCATTCATAGGGTTTCTCCCCAGTGTGAGTCCTTTGATGGGAACGTAGACATGAACTTAAAGAGAAGCTCTGTCCACACTCCAGGCATTTATAGGGTTTCTCCCCAGTGTGCGTCCTATGATGATTAGTTAAACTTGAACTATTAGTGAACCTCTTTCCACACTCCAAGCATTCATAAGGTTTCTCCCCAGCGTGCGTCCTTTGATGCGAACGTAGATTTCCACTATGAGCGAAGGTCTTTCCACAGTCCAGGCATGTATGAGGTTTCTCCCCAGTGTGAGTCCTTTCATGTAAACGTAGACCTGAACTATTAGTGAACCTCTTTTCACACTCCAGGCATTCATAGGGTTTCTCCCCAGTGTGAGTCCTTTGATGGGAGAGCAGACTTCCACTATGAGTGAAGCTCTGTCCACACTCAAGGCATGTATAGGGTTTTTCTCCAGTATGAGTCCTCTGATGTTTACGTAGACTTGAACTTTGAGTGAAGCTCTTTCCACACTCCAGGCATGTATAGGGTTTCCCCCCAGTGTGAGCTCTTTGATGTGAATGTAGACCTGAACTATAGGTGAAGCTCTGTCCACCCTCAAGGCATGTATAGATTTTTCCCCTGGTGTGAGTTCTTTGATGTGAACGTAGACCTGAACTACGAACAAAGTTCTGTCCACACTCAAGGCATGTATAGGGTTTTTCCCCAGTGTGAGTCCTTTGATGGGAACGTAGACTTCCACTATTAGTGAAGCTCTGTCCACATTCCAGGCATGTGTATGGTTTATCCCCAGTGTGAGTCCTTTGATGGGAATGTAGACCCGAAATCTGAGTGAATCTCTTCCCACACTCCAAGCATTCATAGGGTTTTTCCCCAGTGTGAGTCCTTTGATGGAAACTGAGAACTGAACTATAAGAGAAGCTCCGTCCGCACTCCAGGCATGTATACGGTTTCTCCCCAGTGTGAGTCCTTTGATGATTACGTAGACTTCCACTATGAGTGAATCTCTGTCCACACTCCAGGCATTCATAGGGTTTCTCCCCAGTGTGGGTCCTTTGATGTAAACGTAGACTTGAGCTCTGAGTGAAGCTCTTTCCACACTCCAGGCATTCATAGGGTTTCTCCCCAGTGTGAGTCCTTGCATGTTGCTGCAGATAGCATCTCCTAGTGATACTCTTTCCACACTCCAGGCATTGAAATGCTTTCTCCTCCATGTCAACAGTGATATGGGTGTTTAATTAATTAATTAATTATTCACTGTTTTTATACCCCTCTTCTCACCCTGAAGGGGACTCAGAGCAGTCTGAAATTGCAATACAGAGACTCGACTCTTCTTTATTCCTTTGTTATCTGTAAGTGAAGTCAAGAATTCAGCAAGATCATCGCCCCGAGAGGATGTCTTCTCCCTCTATTATTGGTTTCCTTACTGCATCCAAGAGGTCGCTCCAAAGAGTCCTCACTTCCCTGGTGAAGAAAGAAGAGAAAGATCAAGGATGAAAGCCAGAAACCTTCTTTACCTCCAAGATTTTCACCTTTCCCTTCATGAGTCACGTTGAAAATGGAAATGCAGACAACAACGCTCAAGCACATACACAGATACCAGAAAAGGGAATAAATTATTCTTTAAAAAGAAAGGAATGGGGGATTTCCGGTTGGTGGCCGAATGGTGGAGGACGTGTCTCCAGCTGCTCTCGGAGACAGCCGCGTTCTTTTCTTTGAGTCAGGGGGCCAAAACCCCCTCCCTCACAAGACAGATTGAGGTCTCGGAGGGTCTTTTTTCACCGACACCCGGCCGACGGCGCAAGGCGGTGCCCCCCTCAAGGAGGTTCCCAAAAGCGCCCGGCAACGGGAGTGTGGTGAGACTCAAGCCGCGGCGGGAGGACATTTTTGAAGTCTCTCCCTCTATCTCTGCCGGCCAACAACACAATAATAAAGAAGGAAAGATCGCAGCGAAAGAAGGAAAATTACAAGGCAAACTCTCTGACCTTCAAACAGCTGAGGTCGACAAAAGTAAGTACAGATCTAAGATGACGAAGGACAATCAGAGTGAATAATCGAAGGTGGTGGTTAGAGAGATCCAGAATTTAATCTGTGTAGAGGAGCGAGGAGATCGGGAGAAAGAAATAGTAAAGCCCCGGACTCTGAGCGGGGTCTTTTTAGGCCCTATCCCAACCGGATCCCAACTGATTCGGAAAGGAGAGGGGAGGAAGAACTAAAGAACTTAAAAAGGAAAGGAAAAGAAAAGGATAACTTGCCAGCCTAAGCAACACAGCTGGGTAGAGCCACGGAATAAGCTCCCTCCCTACAGAAGGGACGGCATAACCAACGGGGAGGAGGGATACAACGGGCGCCTCGGAGGAGATGCCCATGATATCCCGAACCCCAGGGTACAGCGGGCTGTGACGAACGGCGATCGGCAAGGCAACGGATAGAAAGAATCTAAGATAAAGGGAAGGGCCGAAGAAGTGAAAACCCTCTTTAAGGAAGGGAATATTGAAAACTGAATACTTAATAGGAAAAACGGCTTAAAACTCCGCTTACCTCCTCGCCCCCCCCCCCACCATAAAGACCACAACCCTCAAGAAAGGGAAAAGACAGAGGGGAAATTAATAAATAAATAGAACTGACCTTGGAAAAGCTCAAGAAGCTAAGTGGAGCCGGCCTTGAGACGGGGAAGGAGATAAGGAGATAAGGAAAACGTGGGAGGAGAAGCGACGAGAGTGATCCAGCAAGAGGCAGACTAAGCACCGCGAGAGGGAGAGACCACGCGAGAGGGAGAAATCCCGCGAGAAGACACGAGAGGACAGGGAAGACGGAAGACAGAAGGAGGAAACACCGTGATAAAAGGACCTCATCTCGCGAGAAAGGGATACGAACGGGAAGATAGGCGGAAGAAAGAAGAAGGCCCAGAAAGCTGGAAGAGAGAAAGAAGACAACAAAGAAAGAAGGCAAGGTAGGCAAGAGAAGGATTGTACACCCCATCTACAAAGTAATTATAAACTTAAATATAAATAGAGGTTAGCCACAAACAACAAACCCCATAAAAAATAACAGCAAAAAACCCATAACAAACCCATAACAACCAGAACTTAAAAAGACATAAAGTTCCAAAAAGGGAACGAAAACAGACAACAAACAACAGAAAGGAACTAGTAGAGTGAAATAAAAAAGAAAGAGAATCACTACTAATAAAGGAAATTAACAAAAGGATTGAAGAAACGGAATATAAGCAGAAAGAGAAAGAACAGAGGCAAAGTAAAACCAATAAAAATAAGAATACATCATTAAACTAAAGGAAGAACACCCATAGAGGGCAACAATCCAATTTTAGTAAACAAAGAAAGTCAAGCCAAAGGAACAAGATGCAAAACCCTAAAGCCAAAACAACACCACAACTGACGCAAGCTGCCAAACAACAACAAAAAAAAAGACTCTATCACAGAGGATACTGTACTACAAAGCATATTAGAAGAAATAAAAAAAATGTCAGCGAAACAAGATTCACCACACAAAGAATTACAAGAAGAAATAAAGAAATTAAAAACAGATCTAAAGGAAGACATAAATAAAATTCAAGCGGACGTAGATAAGATAAAAAAAGAAAATCAAACAATAATAAAAGCGCAGAGCAAGACGGAATCCAGAATCACGAAATTAGAGAATATGAACCAAAAACTCCAACACCAGACAGAGCTCCTCGAGAACAGAGAACTGGAGTATCAGATAAGATTGAGAAACCTACAAGAGTCAAAAGAGGAAAATGTAAAACAACTATCAATAGAGTTATTGGCAGAACTACTGGATGTGAGCGGAGAAATTATTGGACAAGACCTAGATAGAGCCTACAGGGTGCCATCAGAATATGCAAAGAAAAATAAAACACCAAAGGACGTGGTCATAAGCTTCTGCAGGAAAAGCACTCGTGACGAAATACTAAAGGAAAGCGCTAGGAAGCCAATCTATTATAAGGAGCAAAGAGTGATTATTATGAAAGAAGTCACTAAACAAACATTAGCAAGATGCAGAAAATATACCTTCCTAACCGAGGAATTGAAAAAGAGGAAAGTAAAATTCAGATGGGAGAAGGTGGAAGGGATCACAGTCACTTGGAATGGAAATAAATATTGGATAAATTCCGAAGAGAAAGCCAAAGTCTTTTTCACAACACACATCAAGCCCATGAGACAAGAATTCCAGAAACAATCACAAGAAAGTAGGAAAGATATGCAGGAAAAAACTCCAAAAAGAATCCCAGAAGAAGTAAACACAACAGAAGAAGAAGGGGACATATACAACATACAGGCAGGAATCAAAGAAAGAGAGCAAAAAAGACTGCGGGAGTTCTCCCCGGAGAATTATAAACTGTTGATGACTCAGGACATAGTCCACTGGGAGATGCAGGAAAACATAAATGAATAAGGACATAAGGATATACTCAAATAATATAAATGGATTGAATTCCCCGAATAAAAGGAGACGTTTTTTCAACTTTCTGAGGCAAAAGAATTACGAAATAATAGCAGTTCAAGAAACTCACATAAAAAGTATACATGTAAAACATTTAGAAAATGAAAAATTGGGAAAATGCTTTTATGCATCAGCAGAAAACAAGAAGAAAGGGGTCGTGTTATACATTAAGCCTTGGTTGCAACCCACACAGAGTTTTAAAGATGAAGAAGGCTGTTTTATTGGTGTTAAAATTGAAATAAAGAACCAAAAGATCTTAATTTGCAATATTTACTGCCCAAACGGTTCGAAGCAAAATTTTTTGAAGGAACTTAAAAGAAATATAGATAATCAAGAGTTTGACGACTTATTAATAATGGGAGATTTTAATGGGGCCATAGACCCCATACTAGATAAATCATCAAGGGATAAAAGCGAACCCCCAAATAAAAATAAATATAAATCTAGTAGGCTACCCAAAAGATTCATAGCACAGCTGGAAAAATGGTATTTAAAAGACACGTGGCGACGCCACAAAGGGAACGTTAGAGATTACACCTTCTTTTCCGGAAGGCATAAATCATGGTCTAGAATAGACATGGTCTGGGCTACTAAATCAATCTTACTAAGGATAAACAAAATAAAGATCTTAACCAGAACACTTTCGGACCATTGCGTGATAGAACTAGTAATGAAAGGAGATAATTTCCGATACAGGTGGCGCCTAAAAGACAATCTGCTAAGGAAAGATGTAGATATTGAAAAAAAATAGATAATAAATCCAAAGCAATCCTTCAAGAAATATCAGGAATAAAAATTGAAAATAAAATAAAATACTTAGGGATATATATATCACAAAGCAACATCAATCTATTAAAATACAACTATATTCCAGTATGGAAAAAAATTCAATATGATTTAGATAGGTGGAAACACCAAAATTTCTCACTTTAAGGAAGAATAAATATAATAAAAATGTCAATTTTACCCCGCCTACTATTCCTTTCTCCAGCAAAGGATCACCGCCTTGTCGGGGCGCTGGAGCTTGAGCACCTCAATGATGTCATGAGTGAAACCATGAAGGGTCACCCAAGATGGGACAGTCGTAGCAGAGAGGTCAGACCAAGCGTGATCCCTGGGGAAGGCAATGGCAAACCACCCCAGTATCCTTGCCAAGAAAACTAAATGGACCAGTACAACCAGAGATATGTCGGTATGCCATTGGAAGATGGGACTCCCAGGTCGGAAGATGGCCAAAATGCTACTGGGGAGGAGCAGAGGATAAGTTCAACTAGCCCCATATGTGATGACGCAGCTAGCTCAAAGCCGAAAGGAAGGCTAGCGGCCGACGGTACTGGAGGTGAACGACGAATCCGATGCTCTAAAGATCAACACACCATAGGAACCTGGAATGTAAGATCTATGAGCCAGGGCAAATTGGATGTTGTTATTGGTGAGATGTCAAGACTAAAGATAGACATTCTGGGGGTCAGCGAACTGAAATGGACTGGAATGGGCCACTTCACATCAGATGACCACCAGATCTACTACTGCGGACAAGAGGAACATCGAAGAAATGGAGTAGCCTTCATAATTAATAAGAAATTCGCTAAAGCGGTGCTTGGATACAACCCAAAAAATGACAGAATGATCTCAATTCGAGTGCAAGGAAAGCCTTTCAACATTACAGTGATCCAAATATACGCCCCAACCACAGCTGCTGAAGAAGCAGAAGTAGATCAGTTCTATGAGGATCTGCAGGACCTACTGGATAATACACCAAAAAGAGACATTATTTTCATTACAGGAGACTGGAATGCCAAGGTGGGAAGTCAAATGACAACTGGGATCACAGGCAAGCATGTCTGGGAGAACAAAATGAAGCGGGACGCAGGCTGATAGAATTTTGCCAGGAAAACTCGCTGTGTATAACGAATACTCTCTTCCAACAACCTAAAAGACGGCTTTATACATGGACCTCACCAGATGGTCAACACCGAAATCAGATTGACTACATCCTTTGCAGCCAAAGGTGGCGGACATCCATCCAGTCGGT